ATCTCAGTTGCATGTTTCTTATAATGATTTTGTCAAATATTAGTCATTTAAGTTCATTATTGTATCATCACCAAAACTAGGGTGACGAACATTCACAGATGTCTTTGGTTCAACAGACACCACTCTTGTTTTAACTTTGGAAAAAGAACATTGTTTGCATCAAAAGTTTGATAGGTGAGTCACCAAACTCATGGCCAAGCTCTCCAACAAGTTGAATCTCAACCTTGATTCCAATGAAGACGAGTACTCCCATGATTAGCCTTTTGATGGTAACAAAAGAAGAAGAAAAAGATTGTGTAAAGTCTTAAGTTTTTGAAAATTTTGGATTTATGATTTATCTTTGGGAGAGTTTTCTTCACAAACTCAAACTCTTATGATTATGTACAATATATAAAGTGAACATAGGCCTTATAAGTATACATATATGTGTTTCATATATACTTTGATATATATTGTTGATGTATGTTAAATAGATATGATGTTTGATATATATATCGTCTCTATTGAATATTTGAACCTGAATAAATCTTATATACTTAAAAATCTCATTTTTAAAAAACTTGTTGGTTACCATAAAAATTGGAGATATCAAATAACGGATTTGGACTTCTTAAAATCTATGTTTTAATGATAACAAACATATTCCTTTTTGTTTAGAATAGAAAGGCTAATGTAAAAGACGATTGCATGATAGCATGTAAAATTAGCATTAAATAAAGTCTTAAGAATGTTAACCTACCATACTGAACATATTGTTTGTCCTAAATGTTAATGAACACATTTATTTAATTATTTATTATGTTTGATATTTTAATCACGTTTTAAACATACACCTTAACAAACTGAAGGAATAAAAACCTCTTAGAAATTTGGAATGACTTTAAAGGGAAATGTTTATTTTTCAATAGAGAAGAGACAAGTATGATCTTCAAAGTTTGCAAAGTTAGCTAAAGGTAGTTTTGGTCTGACATGCATTGTAGTTCATTCCCTTTTATATATTAAAGGTGATAAGCAACATCTTTAATCAATTAAGAAGTAATTATTTGTTGAAATGTATTAAACACATCAACAGACACATCTTCAAGCAAGGAAGAAAGACAAAGGAAGACAAAACAAGTCTATATGGAAAAGTTATCCAATTTGAATTAGTCACCTTCAGTGTTGCATATATAAGAAGCTTGGACGCACAAAGAGAACATAAAATACTCATTCCAATTCAAATCTTATAACTCTGTGTAAAGATAATTTTGTACTTCATTTTTGTATCACATCTTGTATGTAAGACGAACTTTGATTAGTTTACCCTTAGCTTAAACTTTATGTTTTATCTTGAATCTTGAAGAGGTTTTGTGCTTAAAGAATACTTGGTGTACAAAGCTTGGAGAGACTTTATTGTGAAAGAATGCTTGGGTAATTTTTTTTTGAAGAGAAGTGTTAAAGAACATGTAGATTGAGTTAGTAATGACTTGTTAAAGAATACTTTATATATTTTTAAAAGATAGTGACACTTGATCAAAAATTGAATATAGTCTTGGTAGTTGAAACAAACTAAAATAAAATTCTTTGTGTTCTTTATTTTGTTTGCATCCCTCAATTCGGGTGTATAGTTCATTACTTGCGAAAAAGTGTTATTTTTTTATGTACACAATTCAAGACTCTTCTAATATCTATTTTAACTTTGTACTATGGTGTATCTTTAATAATTTTTTTTTCTACTAGCAAAATCGTTCACATGCAAAAAAGTTTTTTTAAATGGCTAATAATAATGTCAATGTTAGAAGAAAGAAGGATACATTTTTTAATAAATACTTAAATTATAGGTTAAAGTATTTTTTTAGTACTGATAGTTTCACTTACTTTATTTTTTAGTCTTTATAGTTTAAAATATATATTTTTAGTTTATATAATTATCTTTTTTCAATCTTTTTTAGTCCATATACTTGTAATTTTTTTTAATTATTTTAGTCTTTATTGTTAATTTTTTTGTTATATTGTCTTTTTTGTATTAATGTGATAGAGTTATTTAATTTAACTTTGTTTGTCAGATATTAAATTTATTTTGTTTGAGTTACTCTAAATTAGGTCTCTCAATTTTTCATGTCTCTTTTATATTCTTATCCATGACATTTATTGTTGAGACACCATTGTTTTACTTGAAAAAAATTAAAGATCTATATCATGTCAACACAAAATAGATAATACTATAAAAAAAAATCATGACAAGGATATAAATGATTAAAAAAATGTTAGTATAAAGACTAAAAAAATTATTTAAACTATGGAAATTGAAAATGATTGAGAAAGATGAGTAAAGAAACTAAAAATATCTATTTTAAATTATAAAAACAAAAAAAATAAAGTAAGTAAAACTATTGTGACTAAAAAAATATTTTAACCTAAATTATATTTTCTCCTATCTTGTATTAATATTATTTCTTCATTGAAAAATACAAAGATAGAATATGGTAATCAATGAGTTCTTTTTACAACAAGAATGAATCGTGGTCGAGAATTTTATTACATAAAAAAAACCTAAAAATTAACTATGTAATTCACTGCAACCAAACGAATTGATTAGATAGATAGAAATTAAAAATATTATAAAATTGGGTTTAAAAACATTAAATTTCAAAACCTTACACGGAAGATTTCTGCAGTTAAAAAGTGAAGAAAATAAATATAAAAATGAATTAATTATTTAAAACTAATAGATAAAAATACATTCTGCGTCTGTGAAAAAAAAAAGTGTAGTTATTGAT